TTCACTTAAAACTTTCAAGGAGAGAAAAGAGCTTGACCCAAGATATCCTGCACACAAACTGCAGACGCGGATGTCTCCAGGGGGTAGGGAGTTGTGCACATCCCACCTCTCCCTTCCACGCAGCAGTTCGTCATACTCCCGTACACAAGTGCAGATGTTTTATTAGTTAAGAATGTATAAAATATAGCCCACATATATATATATATAGGTCTCAGTAGTGACGTGTCCAGGAATGTACATAATTCAGTAGTGATTTGCACAAATGCCATATCAACTAAGCTGGCCTTGCGAAATCATCATGAAAAATCTGGTCCACACACAAATCCTGCTTCTTGGCCTTTTAGCATGATAATGAAGATAAATCAGTGATATCTTCCTTGCCCCAACGCTAAATAAATAAATAAATAAATAAATAAATAAATGCATGCTGGCCCCGGGGCAAGCGAGTGAGCAGAATTTTTCAAGGCTGCATTTAATTTCTCTGTGCTCCTAACAATCACTACAATTAGTTCCTTCTGCTACAGGCATACCTGCTTACAATGGAGAATTGAATAGCCTGAGATTTTCCTCTCTGCTGACCACCTCAGCTCTCTCCCCCCCGCCCAGTTTGGTTTTTTTTTTTTTTTTTTGAATTTTCCTTTCTCCTTTTTTTTTCCCCCCCCCTCCCCTTTAATTAAAAGAGACAACTGAATTAGAATTGTTTTACGAAAAAAAAAAAAAAACCAAAACCCAAACCAAACAAACCCCACCAAACCCCAAACGCCCCACTTCCAGAAAGGCATATCCACCCCTAGGTAAAAGTAGAGCACAGCTGTGTGGAGGAGCGTGTTGGGCCGTGTGCCCCCGCGGCCCCCCCGGTTCCCCCGTCGGCCCGGTCTTTTCCATTCAGCATCACTTTCGCTGCTGTGGCAGCAGCCGCCGCGCAGCGCTGCATCCGCACGGCCGGTTTTGGGGGAGAAGAAAGAGCGGGATTAATAATGCATTAGTTTTGCAGCCCCATCGAAGGGAAAATGAACGGCACAGTCGAAGTTGCGGCGAGGGCAGGGGAAGTGGCGTAATAGCGAGTAGTGCATTAGTCCCGCAGGCACGCCGAGGGGAAATAAACAGGATAATAAAAGTTGGGAGCGGGAGCGCATTAGCCCTGCAGTCGCATCGGGGGGAAAATACACAAGACAGTAAAAGCGATTTCTGCGGGGCGGGAGGGGAGGGCGGGAATGGGGCGAGTCCTCCAGCCTTCCTGAAGGGGGCATGAGCAGAGTGACATCGCGGGTGGGAGCGGGGCGCATGTCTGCCACCTCCCCCGCCCCCCCCCCGCCG